ACTGCTACGGCAAGCACTAGTCATATATTTGAATGTTGAGCAGCGAGCTCATTGGCTACCGATACAGGAGAGAACCAATCAGCTGTGCCATGTGATAATAATGTCATTAGGTCAGATTGAGTTAGACCTATCGGACTGCGCCATCTAGAGTTTCATGCCAGAACTCTGTATTTAAATGTCCTAAATTGAACAACAAGCTAATAGGGTCCCTCATAGAAAATAAAACCGCTAATATAATATTTATTTTGATGAACAACATGTTTTGAAGGTTAAGTATCTCGTTTGAGTGAGCATTTGTAGAAAAAGGAAACTAATACAGTACTTCAGACCCATTTTGAATCCTATTTGTGGAAATTGCCTAGCGCCCAAACGTCTGTTTTCCCCTCCTGGCTCTTGCTTGTCAAGGCCCATCAATGCTGCTGTGGACCTATAACTACACCTGAGGCCCTCCTTTCTTCCTCTGTACACTTCTATCCCTCTCTCTTTCCTTTCAGACCTTCTCCATCTTTGATTCCCCACTTCACCCAGCAGATGTCTAGATCTTAAGTTGCACTCCTGCGGTTGGCGAACTGGCAGACGTGTGTCTCGCGTGCCTGGTTCCTTCGAGCCCTGTGGGGAAACGCGCCTACCTGGGCGGCTCTGTAATTTTGTTTTCTCTTCGCTTCTTTCATATGAGCGCACTTACATCCACGCAGCAAGGTCAAGCGGGTCTGGAGAACTTGTATGACTCTACATCTGCAGGATTAAATGCATTTACCGCCTCCGTTCAGACGAAGAGGGTGAGTTTGAGAACTGGAGAAAGGAGAGATTTGCCGTGAAGGACCAAAATAAATATGTCAGACATCTTGCCATCTGCACGAGGGGCATTCCAAAGGGACTAATTAGCCAGCCGTGGTGGGCTGGATTGCTCGTTTGAAAGTGATTCGCTCTTCTTGGGGAAAACAGGTGGAGGAGTGTTTTTTTTTCCTTCACTCGCTTTATTGCGTTTGAGTGGTTTGGCAATTGCTCTTTTACTCCTAATGCTTGTTCTTCTTTGAATATTTTATAAAATGCCCTCATTGGTGTCTTTAATGCTGTCAATCAGCTGCTGTCGTTGGTGTCCCTTGGGTGTGTAGTGTTTTACACATATTGGAGCGAGATGATGAGTCAGGGGAGAAGCCGCTTAATAACTTGTTGGTTCTTTCCTCCCTCTGGTTTATGTGTTTATATGCTTTAAAAGTGAGTCATACTGCCTTAGAGGTAGCAGAGAATTGTGGGTCCACAAAGGAAAGATGGGTTTTGGATCATTTGAAAAGTATACCATGCTTATTTCTTCAGTATTTTAGTCTGTGTAGTGTATTATTATTATAATTTAAAATAGCTATTTTCTATTTGAATATATTTTAGAATGTAATTTTTTCATGTGATGGCAAAGCTGAATTTTCAGCATTATTACGCCAGTCTTCAGTGTCACATGATCCTTCAGAAATCATTCTAATATGCTGATTTGCTGCTCAAGAAATATTTTGTATTATATCAATGTTGAAAACAGTTGTGCTGCTTTATATTTTTGTGTAATCTTTGATGAATAGAAAGTTCAAAATGACAGCATTTGTTTGAAATAAAACTTTTGTAACAGTTTGTATTGTCTTAGCTGTCACTTTTGATCAATTTATTGCATCCTTGCTAAATAAAAGTTTTAATTTCTTAGAAAAAAAGCTTACCGACCCCAAACTTTTCAACAATATTGTATACATTTACTGTTTATGCATTGTATATTATGTATACTATGCACAGTATGCAAATTATTGTACTACTGTTTGAAACGTTTACTGTTGCGTAATGTATGGCTTCACATATTATTTTTTATGTTAAACACCTTACAGCATATATAATGCATAGTATTTTATTTGAACATAGCCATAATGACCAAATGAATAACAAGATACCTCGATCATACCCATAATAAGACCACGTGTTTTGAAGCAGAGGATTTGATTGGATGACATGGGGGCTTGTCAAAGACTACATTGTTTGTTTCTTAATGCAATTGAAGGTTTGCTCTGCCCTTAAACCAAAACATGTCCACTCAGGAAAGGGCTGTTGCACACTTGGGTTTGTAAAAAAACATTCTGACCTCTTTGGCTCCTATTTACCCATGTCTCTCTTCAATCAATACGCGCAAGCCCTTTGGGTGCATGCAGGGCGACGTCAGCTATTTACAGTGTGTGTGTGTTTTCAATACCTCAACTCCAGTGACTTGTCAACGACCTCATAAGCTCGTGAACCCCATCGGCTTTGTGCGGTTATTGCAGGCAGAGAGGCTAATTGTGCGTATGAGCAGGAGGAAGAAAGCACGAGGGAAAGAGAGAAAGAAAAGACGTCGGCTTGATGAATGATGCTTATGAGTCTCTGACAATGTGTGCAAAGACTTGCGTTTTCTAATCAAGTTTAAAAAAGCGCAGATTTAATTTTTTTGTGTACTTCACTGTTATTGTTTCTCTTAGAAGTTTAGAGTCTGATGTAGTTTTGTTAAAGACATGAATGTTACCTCAGATTGTGTGGCTTGTTAAGGAGAGCTGTGCTGTTACTCAGACTTGACCGTTTACACCTGCAAACGATTAACAGCATTCTAAAAGAAATCTGCCTTATCAACTGCATAACAACACCCTAGCAACCACCCAGAACACCCTACATTGTGGCAGTCAGTTTTGCATGTGTAAGCACCTCTGTAGAAATCTAATTCTACTATATATGTATATATTGATGTAGTGTTCTTTAATATGTTTAAAGTCCTTTTTTTGGCTTGCAAAATGCAACTCAGATTTCCTCAAATCCAATAGTACTGATTCATAAAACACCTGCCTTAATCAAATCCTCAAATTGGGTTATTCACATGCTTCTGCTGCGGCCACAAAAACCAAACCAGTGTTCTTTTAGCATAGAGTAATGAAGGACAAAGAAACCTCCATAGTCAGACTGAATACTGAACATATGCATGAAAGCCTCACAGTCTCTGCCAAACATGCAGGCTCATAGCCCCTCATATGAAGCCCACCTTTGCTGTAATTTGAGGAGGGATGCTGGCAAAGACATGAAAAGATGGCTGTGATACTGCTTGTCCTCCCTCCACAAGTAGAACACAAGCTTGGCGTGGCGGCACGATGATTGCTTTTGTGTGTTCTGGTCTCTCCGGACCCCTCAAAGACAGAGAGGGAATTACTGGCCCGCAGCCTCTGATAGTATATCAAGATTACTGCGTTTTCCAGACAAGAGTGGACCACCGCCAAAGAGCGAGATTGTGTCACTCGCTAACGCATTTGAAGGATGGCTGATATTTGAGGAAATGAATGGCTGTTTGGAATCGTGTCTGCAGTGTTCTAAATGATCTCGCTTTTTGAGGATTTATGGATCATGTTGTGTTTTGGAGTCATTCGTTTGACTGACTATGCTGACTGTATTTCAGAATAAAATGCCATATTTGGTCTGACATTTACATGGTAAATGGGCTATTTTCTGGGTGTTTGAGCCAATTAGAGGAAACTGTCAAATGTTTTGTTTGGCAAATAGGGTAAAATGAGAACGTTTCCCTTCAGATAAGTGGCATGGTGTTACATTAAAGTGAACTAGAAATCAAAATTGCCGTTTCATGACCTTTTTGTTACAACATGCCCTGATAATTTACACAATATGAGGTAAGTTGTCACAGTGACAGGTTAACAGGTTTTTCAGTTAAATTTTGGACTGTAATACAATTGATGAAACAATGAAAATGTAAATGTAACATTCAGAAATATCAAACCACTGTTTTGGCTATCAAAACAGTGATTTGTGATTAATAAATTGAATGATGAATTATATAATTAAAAAATGTATCTGACAACCTTCCCCAATATAAGACTGTATGAAATATTATCCAGATGGGTTTTTCAAAGTCTGGACAGCCAAAACAAACAAACAAAAACAAAAAAAACATGAAATTGGATTTTTTCAAATCTGATTCAAACTACATTTAGATTTAAATCCGAATTTTACACATGCATCTCATTCTAGATGCTCTGGCTTCTCCAATCAGATTTCAAGTCGTCTTTTGCATCACTTTTAACGCAACACACAATGATATCATCAAAACCGGTGATGGAAATGCCAGACGTATTCATGCAGTATTCAAACGAAGCCGAAGCCAGAACATTACAATATATACCAGTCTCCTCCGTCGCTGTTTTTTTCTGGAGTTCTGCACCGTGACTCGACAGGTGCTTATTTGGTGATTGCGATGATGCATCTCTATTTTTCCTGCATCTGTTTTGAAAGCCTCATCAAAAAATGTGGGAGCACCTGCATCATAACCAAAGCAGTCCATGCTGATAAGTTGGTTATGTCTGGACACATAAATCTGATTTTATCACTTGCACTTTAATAATACGGACAGTCTGACTGAAAAGCTCTGATTTAAGAAAAAATATTCATTTGCCTGCAGTCTGAATACAGCCTATGTGACAACTAGCCCCAGTTTCCATCATATCAAGTACTATAGTATTACCATTTGATAGGATTACTAAACCATAGTACTTATATCCATGTGTTTGATAGAGTATTTAAGATAAATTAGTTGTTTACTGACTGTTATTTCCCATATGTCAATGAATCATATGTTAATTTCTTCTCTTAAGTATAAACACGTATGGTTTGTGTGTGTGTTTGTAGGATGCGGGAGCGGGAGCTGCAGCGTGTGGGCAGGAGATTGCTGCTGTTGGGCATCTGTCTGCTGACTCTCTGGGGTCAGCTGAGTCTGGCCTCAACACATCGCAGCCATATTGGTGAGTTGCATAGAAACATATACACATTAACTTTAATGGGAAGCATTAGCGGAAACAGACTATCAGCTGAGATTTTGCCCACTCGGCTGCTGTGTTTAGCGTTGAATGAGCTTGACCTCCAGTTTCTGAAGTCCATTTTTTCCTGGAAATTCATAGACAGTATTTGCTGTTTGTTGTACTAGGGTTTTAACAACCTTGTGCTGCTCATTTTCAAAACGACCCACTTGACCTTGAGGATAAATGATGTTCCATTTGGCTTTACCTTGAATAAAAACAAACAAAAAGATCTGCACTTGTTTTCTCATGTTGGAGATGCAGGAAGAATCTGTTGAATATCCATATGCTGCTCTTTTTAAGCTCCAGAGACTTTTTCGAGGTCTCGATTATGGTTCTTTCTTTCAGATTTCTTTCATAGAATTAAAGGGGTCATATGACGTTGCTAAAAAAAGAACATTATTTTGTGTATTTGGTGTAATTAAATGTTTATGCGGTTTAAGGTTCAAAAAATACATTATTTTCCACATACTGTACATTATTGTTTCTCCTCTATGTCCTCGTCCTCCGTAAAATGCGTTGCACACATCGGAATATTTGGTTTGAACTGTTCTGGAACAGTGTTGTAAATACAACTTAACCACTGATTTCTAGTTGTGTCCTCTTTTGGAAGACCAAACAAAGTAGTTTCGCTTTCACAATGAAACACACAGCTTCTTCACGACATGGCGGCGGCAACAACAATACTACAGCAAGAATAAAAGTTACGCCTTCTTTCTCTGCGTGAACATTTGGGTGGTGTTATGCAAATCTT